CTATCTATCTATCTATCTATCTATCTATCTATCTATCTATCTATCTATCTATCTATCTATCTATCTATCTATCTATCTTAATATACAACCACAGCAGTAGTGTGATTCACTCTTCTGGGTGGTATACAGCAAAATAAAAAGAAACAAGCCCTCAAGTCAAAATAAAACTTTACTGCACTGAATGTCTTTCGTTTTTTGGGGGTTTTGCTTTGTTTTTGTTTTTTGTTTGTTTTGTTTTGTATTCTATTCAATGATCCTTTTAGTAATACTACATACTCCTTGTTACTCCTCTTAGATGTCGTCTTGTATTTGTTGTAAGTCACCTTGGGTCCTTTTTAAGGAGAAAGATGGGTTAGAAATATCTCAAACAAATAACTAGGCAGAGAAGTAAAGAGGTCTTGAGAAAACGCTACTCACTTGAGGTGAAAGCTAAGAAGGCAATGAAAGCTGCTCTGAAGATCATGATGAGGAACCTCTACACGTCTAGACGCTAATGTACTTCAAACCGAAGCAGATTTCAAATTATCCCCTGCACTGCCAAACGTTGGTCAAGTTTCTCCCCCAGCTGAATGTGTAGACTCAGTGCTTGTTAGCAAGCAAGGCAGATCGGCCTTGAAGAAGCCTTCCTCCTCTCTTTCTTCCCATGTGGGTTTAACCCCTTGTGGTTTCCTATGACTTTGGTGGTGTTCAGTTCATCAGAAGAGTGGGTGTGGTAGATGGATTTGTGCGCAGAGAGTGTGTGTGTGAGAGAGAGCGGTGAGTGCTGGCTGAGAAAGCAGTTAAAAAAAAGAGGCGATGTCTTTTCGTAAATACATGTTATGACTCTTAGGTCTGCAAGACAGAAAATTAAGATTGCAGAATGGTCGTGAAGAAGTGCTAAATTTGGAAGCCCAAGTAGTCTTCATATGACTCTCCTCCTGGCCAGATCCCTGCCCACGGGGAGTGTCCAAAAATGCAGGATGCGGAATTGGTTCTTATCAATAAAATGAGGAGGTTAATGACTCTTTGTGTCTCCTTCAAGACCAAATCACCCTCAATTACTTTGCATTACAATGGGGAGAATTTGCAGTGAGGTAGTCTTTTACAGCAGTTCCACTGGTTGTCAGTCCAGTTCTGGATACAAGGCAAAGCACTGTTTTTAATCTATAAAGCCCTAAATAGCTACCTCAAGGACTGCCTCTCTATTTATGATCCTGCTCAGGTGTTAAGATCATCAAGGGAGGCCTTGCTCTTGGTCCCACCCCCTTCACAGGTACCTTTGATGGGGATACAGGAGCAGGTCTTTTCTGATGCTGCTCCCAGACTCTGGAACTCCCTGCCACTGGAAACAAGGCTGGTCCCACCTTGGCTATCCTTCCGCAAGCAGGCGAAGAGCTTTCTCCTCAGGCAGGCTTTTCCTGAGTGACTCCCTGCCTAGGAGACAATTAAAAGGGTGGTTTATATTATGTTACGTCTAGTTCTGTTTTTCGTCATGCTTTTGCCTAACATTTCTGTAATGTTACTAGTTCTTCTTTAATATTTGAATAATTTGCTGTTTTTAGCTTTTAATATTGTGCTTTAATGATGTAAACCACCCTGGATCCTTTTTAAGGAGAAAAGCAGGGGATAGATAGATAGACAGACAGATAGACAGACAGACAGACAGACAGACAGACAGACAGACAGACAGACAGACAGACAGACAGACAGACAGGCAGGCAGGCAGGCAGGCAGGCAGGCAGGGAGGTAGGTAGGTAGGTAGGTAGGTAGGTAGGTAGGGAGGGAGGTAGGTAGGGGGACGGA